CACACACACACAACAATCTAAGAACTTGCATCTGAAACATTTCATTGACCATCGCTGTGCTCTCCTCTTCAGGATCTTGTGAAAAGCCATTTAATGTACGCTGTGCGCGAGGAAGTGGAGGTCTTGAAGGAGCAGATCAAGGAGCTCTATGAGAGGAACTCGCTTCTGGAGAGGGAGAACGCAGTATTAAAATCTCTGGCCAACACTGATCAGCTGACCCAGCTCAGCTGTCAGCACAACAACCTCGGCAGCACTTCACCCCAACAGACGGCGGTCAACGCCATCCTACAGGAAGGAAGCAAACTCGTGGCCTTGCCCCCGCAACCCAACGTGTCCACAGCGTGAAGACCATAAAAAACATCCAATCTGCAAAGGAGGTTTTGGTTTGCCACTTGCAGAGAGCCATGCTTCGTTATACGTGCTGCTTGGCTTTCCCTGTATTAGACAATCATTTTGGGAGAAGCAAATTTGGCTCCACGATGGGTGCGGTAGCTTTCCGTGGGAATGGGCTGCTGGCAGGCGCGGGCGAATGTGAAAGAGTTCAGTCGAAAAGTGGAGAATTAGCAGGAAGCTAAACTAAACAGATTTAGATCTGGAAACGGAGAGCAACTACCGTGGAAAGCTTGGGAGAGCCTACAGCATGAGTCCTTTCGTCGGTTTAGTTTTACTGTTTGCATATATTTATTAGAGGGCTGCTATTTTCATAATGTAAATGAACAATGTAAGAGAGATCTATTATATATATATATATATATATAAGAAACGTTCTTTTGGTTTCTGAAATGTAAGATACTTGTTTAACAAGGCAATAATGTCCCCATGGCACAGTTCCAACACTAAAAGTGATTCAACAGCATTGCTGATACACAGTCCTGTATAGTTGAGTTGGTTCGGGGTTGAATGTACATGTGTATAGATTGTGAAGTATTAAAGTATAGCCAGGTGTACAGGTGAGCAGCAGTTATCAAGTATTTTTCTTTCGGATTTTATTAAGTGTACTCGCTATACTTTCCGTAAGTACTTAAATTCTGGCTTTTCAATTCGTTTTGTATTTTCAATTCGGGATGGGGGAAGAAGCTGTGAATTAGTTCGTACAATGTATTTGTAACCAAAGAAGAAAAGCTGTGTACATTTGTTTTGTAGCGCACATTTTCTTGTTTGTTTGTTCGCTCGCGCTTTTTTTTTTTTTTTGAACTTCGTCACCTTTTGTTTCTGATTAGCATGTGCTGCATGACCTATCAAGACTATTTTCTTACCTCATGTTTTTTATTCGTCATAATTTAAGCAGTCTGTGAACCATATGTGATTATGGACGGTGAAGGGTGATTTTTGGAGGGAAAAAACCCGGTAACGTTAACAAAACAAAAAAAAAATGAGTCATCTGTTTTCATTTGCATGGTGTTGTAAGACTTGATGTACAAACAAATGTTTATTACTTCGCAGGAAATGTACAAAAATAAATGCCGATTTATATTTCCAGGTGTAGTTTACACTGATAACCTTCAAAGAACGATAAAATAATCATCGTAATGAAATCAAAGCCGCAGAAGTGTTCACAGATGTCATTTATGTATAGGGTATGTTAATTTCTTTTGTGCCTCTATGGATGCAGCAATCTGGATTAATATTTTTTTTGCCCAGTTTGAGCCAAACAGAAATATTGTACAATCACTGTACATCGGTCTGAAATTTTTAGGTTTGCTTGTTTTTCTTTTTCGTTGAAGGAAATGTAGTATACAAGCAAAATGTATTGTACTTGATCACTGAGCCTTTGAGAATATCTTAAAAATACCCTTGTAATGTGCTGTTTTGAAAAGTTTAGTTTTCTGTCAGAAATAAATTACTGTTCCATTGAGAACTAAACCATTTTAAATGTTTTGCTGGTGTCTTGTGCATAACTCACACAACAAACATTAACTGACATGAATTGTTAACTTGTTAAAGATGAGTTTCACACACACTTAGCTAATTAAATATGGACATGCCATATACTTAATTAAAGGTTAATTAAAATGTATACAGACGAAGGATAACTATAACGACAAACATATAGTATTAAAATCATTCTAAATTTAACAATCCACACCACAACTGTAAGGATAATGATATAATTGGAATCACATGTTGTAGCTGTTTAACAATAAAACCATTGACGGCCAATCAGAATCCACCCGACTTTAAAGAGCGCGAGCATTTAAATGTGGAGTAAGCGATTTCTGAGAAACAAACACGCCCAACCCAAAATGACCACGCCCCTATTTTGATAGCCCCGCCCCCACATACACGAACATTCTATGCAACACTAGCACCTCCCCCATCGTGTATGGACACGCCTCCTTATTGGCGATTGGCTACAACAAGTGTGTTTTGGCGCTCGGTCCGATCCACTTTCAAAAGTGGGAAACTCCACTTTCAAAAATGCCTACTGCAGCTTTAAAATGGCAGACGACAAAACTGTAGTGCCTGCTTATAATAAACATAACGTTATTATGTTTTGCTGTGAACGCTAGTATAGTTATGATTCTTGGTGTGAACTGGCCTTAATTTCCATTTTTCCATTCCACTGCGCTACTTTTATTCTCTATGGAAATGTGCTAGATGAACGTTGAGCATTGCGCTCGCGTCCCTTTGCTGCATCTCGCGCACGACGCAGCGTTAAAATAAGTTAAACTTTAAAAGAACGCATCTCGAGGCATTGCGTTTTCCCTCCATTCCACTGCCTCCATCTTGCATTTTTTTCAAAGCAAAGCCACAGAGCGCGTTTGACGTCATTTACAGACACAGCGTTCTAAAAATTCTAAAAACGTTGCACTCAAGTTAAAAGAAGTTTAAAGAAGCACGTCTAGGCCTTGCGTTTTTTTTGTATTCCACTTCCCTACCACTGCAACTGCAGTTTGTAAACGCAAACAAAATAATGTTTGCATTGTACCGCTCCATTATTTTCAACGTAAACACGCGGTAGATGGATGTATGGACGCTTGTCCAGTAAGTTGGAGATTGAGGTCTCTGCAGAGCAAAAGGGTGTTTCTAAATCATGCAATGAAAATGATCCCCCTTACCTGACCCCACCCCTAAACCTATGCGTCACTATGACGTCAGCCAATCAGGTAACATGCTCGAAAACGCCCCTCTGGTTTGGCCACGCCCACTGATCTGGTAACTCCCAGTACTTTCCTGCAGAGATCGGGGGCAAGTTCAAGCTCAAACCGGTGCACAACGTTTTGCTACGGTTTCCGGTTTGAACGACATGTTTCCTGGAAACGGTGTGCAACGGGGTTTGAGATGCGTTTTCTCTTGTTTGGTGGGTGTGTCAAACATGTCAGCCCAATCAGCAGCAACATGTATATAAACCACGCCGTATTAAAGAGACAGCGCGCACAATGTAATTAACATCCAAATAAATTCAAAAGAGCAAGTATATTGTTTGCACATGCTTATTTACATTAAAGGCAAAATAACTGAAATAATAAGAGCACAAGTATAGATCTGGAACTTCTTTAAGTCTGTCTAAATATCATTTAGTAATTGCAATGTCTTCTGGTCCATATCGTTTCCTTAGGAAGGTGTTCTAGACACTGATTAATGTAACATAAAAATACTTTACATATTTATATATTTTACTATTGTATTGTGGAGTGACACTTTTATTTAATAACTTTTTATTTATAGAGTTATTATTTAAATATCTAATTAAATAATCTTGATCTTTTAGTTTTTTTTAGCATTAGGCAGGACATGTGCATCACTGCTGCCATCTACTGGTCATTTCCGTCAATTAGCTCTAAATGCCATCAAATTACAAAAGAAAATATATAAACTTTAATTTAATTACTTTAATTTAGTTTTAACTTCAATTATTTACATTTCTTATTCTTTCTAAAAATGTATTTGTACTACGAAAAGTATCTATTCTATTCTATTCTATTCTATTCTATTCTGGTGTTTACTCTGGTTGCCATAGCAGAATGCAGGCTACCATAAATACCTTCAAAAGCGAAATGGAAGTATGCCGCCCTTGGCTCTAACTGTCAATGCAAGAAGCCTTACAATGTCTTAATTGTCATGTGCCTGTAATAACCTGCCACGACACGCCCGCTGATCTTCTGTCGTTCAGTGACAGTGGAAAACATACGGAAAACATTGTAGTTTAACAGCGCCACCGTGTGGCCACAGCGTGTGAGGTCACACATGAAGCTGAGAACAGTGACGGACGCTTTTCTCATCGCTTAGGACGCTTGTGTTTGTATTTAAATTCAGTTTAGTTTTTTTTTTTTTTTTTTTTTTTTTTTTTAATTTACCTTTAATTTATAA